TGCTGGGCACTGTCCTTGTCACACGCTTTTCGGTTGCTAGCATCATGTCTGGGTCAATTACTTCTTGTTTTCACATACTTACTAGGCCTGTGTACTTGGTTTATTCTGAACTTTGTCGTCTTCTGACTATTTCTCTTTTCATTAATTCTCTGGCTTCTCTCTTTCTAGCTCTTTTGCTAAATCCTCATTTGTCAGCTTTCGCGCCTGCAATTGTTTTCATTCCTCTCTCCGTGAAGTTTACGTCATTCTGTCATTGTCGTCTGACTTCGGCAATTCTCATTCCGGCTTCCCTCTTTCTGGTAAGCCACTTTTCCTCTTGGTTTTATTTCTTGTTGCTTTCCAAGAAGCTCTGCTTCATTGTTAACCACCATTGTTGTTTCACCCGTTGTTTCCAAATCATCTTCTTAAATATACACTGTTCACATATCTGTTGATTTCTGTCACTGTTCTTGGCTTGACACACCTGTACAATCTTTTTGTCTTGATTTCCTGATAGTTTCATCACCATTTTTGAATTAAAATTACATTCTTGTTTTTGTTTTCTGTGTCTTTTCCTAGAGTTTTGCTTTCAATCCTTGCTTTCAAAACGCCGAGGTGCCAATCGCCGAGAAAAACTTTGATCAAACTCTTCAGGAGATTGATACTGAGCTCGTGGCTGAGAAAGCTGCTGAGAAGTTCTTTCCAACTGTCTTCTGGGGATGAAACATAACCTGCCGCTGATGCCGAGTAGTTTGTTTCTTTCTTGAAATTGATGCCGAGGTAACGGTAGAAAAGCTCCTCCAACTGACTGCCGAGGCTGAACCATCGTCGTCCATCGAAACAGATCAGTCCGACGTTATTGCTTTCAGTCCCTAGTTCTTTAAGGTCTTCATTTTTGTACTTTCCAACCTTCTCAGCTCTTAACAAGCTAGTTAGTCATCTCGGATGATCATATCTCGGAAACGTCTTTCAGTGTTATCTCGGCAATACCAAACTTGTAAATTGCTACAAATTTCAACAAGTGGTAGACTTCATAATCTTCAGTTAACTCATCTTGTAATTTGCTCAAAAATTTCAACAAGTGTTAACATTCCTTGCTCCTTAATTATCATTCATTCCCCCTGCACCTTCTCCCCGCCCCCTAATGTGAACATAAGTTGTACTTAGGATCACATTAGGGAAATTGGCTTCGTGCCGTAGTCACAGGCCTGATGTGTTCTGCTTTCACCAATGTATTAAAACTTCTGGTATTTAATGCACCCCCTTTAGACTCTCTTTCTTTTGGCCTTTGCAAACTATCATCGCTGTTTCTTGAAACATTTATTCCTTTCACAATTCTGGTCACCACTTCTGGCGTGCACTTAGTGGTTCTGTTCTAATCAAAACGACGTTTGATTCCGGCGAATCTTTTGCCGACATTTAACTTTGTACACTCTCAGAATTTCAACAAGTGTTAAACATTATTTCGTTTTAACTTCGGTTTAAGCATCATCTCCATTTAACTTTTGGTTAAACATAATCTCGGCTTAACTTCGGTTAAGTATCATCTCAGTTTAACTTCGGTTAAACATCATCTCAGTTTAACTTCGGTTAAGCATCACCTCAGTTTTTGAAGTTTTTCCTTTTTTGTTGCTTGTACTCTTGTACTTTTTTGTTTTTTTAGACAATGTAAGTTCTGCATATGGCTGATGTGCCTCCTTGTTCTTGAATGTCTAATGCAACTTTCCTTCTCTGAATGCTTGTGCCTTTGTCTTTTCTTGGCTGCCTTTGCATGATTTTATACTTAAAATATTTTGCGTGTCTTTAGTATGCTCTTCCTTCTTTGTGCAACATTCTCGGGGTGACATACCTCGGGTATACAAACTGATGATTTACCTCGGCAATAACTTGTCCTGTAAACTTTGCATAAATTCCAACACATACTGTTTTAATTTCAACCTATAAACTTTCCTTAAGTTATAACAAGTGTTAAATAATGATCTACTTGTAAATTGCTATAAATTTCAACAAGTGTTTAAACAATATACTTAGCTTTTACTTCAACCTGTAAATTGCTGCAAATTTCAACGGATGATCATATGTCGACTTAACGTCATTTTGTAAATTGCTACAAATTTTAACAAGTGTTAAGCATCTTCTTCGGGTTAACAACTTTGTAAATTTCTACAAGTGTTTAAACAATAACCTCGACTTTACTTCGGCTTGTAAATTGCTACAAATTTCACCAAGCGAAGAGAAATAGTAATCTCGGCTTAACTTCAACTTGTAAATTGCTCAAATTTTCAACAAGTGAAGATAAGGAATCAGCTTAACTCCAACTTGTAATTGCTACAAATTTCAACAAGTGAAGATCAGAAATAATCTCAGCTTAACTTCGACTTGTAAATTGCTACAAATTTCAACAAGTGAAGATAAGGAATCAGCTTAAACTCCAACTTGTAAATTGCTACAAATTTTCACAAGTAAAGATAAGGAATCAGCTTAACTTGAACTTGTAAATTGCTACAAATTTCAACAAGTGAAGATAAGGAATAATCTCGGCTTAACTTCGGTTAAAGCATCGTCTCGGTTTAACTTCGGTTAAACATCATCTGGCTTTAACTTCGGTTAAGCATCGTCTCGGTTTAACTTCGGTTAAACATCATCTGGGCTCAACTTCGGTTAAGCATTATCTCGGCTTAACTTCGGTTAAGCATCATATTGGTTTAACCCAACTTGTAAATTGTTACAAATTTCAACAAGTGGTAAACGCACTCTTCTTCTCTGCCCCCCAATGTGAACTTAAAATCCACTTGGGTTCTCATCATACATGTAGCTTCGCCCTTGTCGCCGGGTTTAATCAGTCGAGGTTTGTCGGCCTTGGTTTCTCTATTGATCTTACTTGGCTCCAACCTGAGTTTGATTTTCGGCCTCGCATCGGCGAGCCGTTTCTCTTTTCTTGTTCCGACGCCTTTGTTCCCGGCATGTCCTCCTCGGCCCTAGCATACTTCTTAATTCTGGCCAACTTTAGTCTGATCTTGTGTGTTTCCTTTTTATCTTCTGGGATCTGAGATCTACTCATTGTGCTCTTCTCTTCTCGGACTCAGGTGCCGAGATCTTATCTTCTGGAATCTTAGATCTGCTCGTCAGGTTGAGCTTTTCTATACTTGAATGTTATCTCCTTGGAAGCGCTCATGCCCTCTGTCTTTGCATCCCTTCTGGAAGGGTCTTCGTTCCTTCGCAGGTATCTATCCTTCTATACCTGGAGGTCATCTTCGTTGTAGTATCCGCATCGATCTGTTGTCTTTGGTGTGTCACCTTCCTGGCCGGCGTCTTTCACTCCGTGACTCTGGTCACGAGTTTCTCTGTTGCGGTTGTCCCCTTCAACGCTGAGGTTGATAGATCTCCCATTCCCAGTAGGAGCGTTGTCTCCAGTTTGATCCTTCTGTTCGTCATTGGCCATCTATTCTTCTTTTTCTCCACAGACGGCGCCAAATTGTGTGGGTGATTTTCCGACTACACTGTCCGCTTAGTAACCAGCTAGAGAGCACTGACAGAATAGATGACACCTGACTAACCTGCAATAGAAATATAAGAATCCCGCAGTGGTTTCGACCACCCGGGGGCACTCCGACGATCAAGTCAGTATATCTCTCAAAGATCAAGTCAGTATACAATCCTAGTCCCAATAGGAGCCTGGCCCTAATGGACTTAGGATTACTGCTAATCTGGGACTCCCAGTGGAATTAGGATAAACTCTCTAAGAGTCTTATCTTTACCCAAACTGAAGTCTTCTCCCAATCTAGGACTCTTGTCCATATCCAAGTTGAGTTCTCTCTTCATGCTAGGACTCTTGTCCCTTATTCGCTTATCTCGGATTCCGATATCTTCGGAGGCAACCTTGGCCTAGCCGAGATGATCTCGGCACAACGACCAAGACACGTGGCACCTTGGCTGACACGTCGGCGTCACCTTGCCACGTGTTGGTATTCAGAAAATATATCCCCACACTAAATAAGTTAATTTTTTTTTTCACTTATTACAAATATAAAAAGTAAAGAGGTGCCATAATTCAAATAAATTAAAAAAATCAATAAACTTATTTATAAGTCACTTTTCAAAAGAAACTTAAATTTGAAAATAATCTTTTTTTTAAAAGTATTTTTAAATTTGAAACAAAGACATGTTTGTGTGACTATTCCACACCATGTTATTATCCTACTCCAAATAAATGGTAAAAATAGTGTCTGTAATAGGAATCTTAAATTAATATGGATGAATTACATTTGCCTTTCTTAAAATTTAGAAAGAAAGGAGGTAAATCTCATTGACAGACTAATACTAACGTAAATTATCTAAAAATATAAAGATAAGTAAGATAAAACATACCTTTTAATATAAAGAAGATAATATAATTTTTTAATTTATAATACAAATTAAAATTTAAAAGAACAAAATTAATAAAATTTACTATATATAATTGAAATATAAAAATGTGAGTCAGAAGGTGGGGGTTGGGTCGGTGAAAGCGAGCTGAATGACCAACAAAAATTAGGTAAATGACAATAGCATAGTCATATATGGGGCGGCAAATTGAACTACAAATTTTATTTAAAAAAAAAAAAATTAAATTATAAATACATCTTTGAAGTTTGCTGAATGTATAGATTATTTTTTGTAATTTAAAAAATTACGAATATTCACTTATCAGAATTTTTTATTTAACAAAATTAATTAAAAAATAAAATTCATGCTATGGAGAATTTACCTTATGAATATCTATAGAGACTCGACCTAAATATATGAAAATTTTCTTTTTTTCTTACCCATCGGGTCAAGTAAGTGGTGTTTTTAAAATATCCATCAGGAATGGGTCAGGAATAGATACCTGTCCATTTCCCCATATGTTTTCACTAAAAATAAATGGTGTCTGCAAATAGAGAAATGGTGGTGTATTGCTTCGACACCCTCGTCGCTCGCTACAACAACAACCAACCCCCTCCGCTAGCTTTCGACGATGGTCAACAATACATTTTATGCTTTCTCTCTCTCTAAAACCCTATTCTCTCTCTCTCTCTCTCTCTCTCTCTCTCTCTCTGTAGAAAGTTGTATTATATAGATTATGGCGAAGGATATGGGGGTGGCGGAGCAGGGGTCTTACTCCGCCAAGGACTACCAGGATCCGCCACCGGCACCGCTAATCGACGCGGAGGAGCTGACCAAGTGGTCGTTTTACAGGGCTCTGATTGCGGAGTTCATTGCCACGCTTTTGTTCCTTTACATTACGATTTTGACGGTGATTGGTTACAAGAGCCAGGTTGACCCGGTCAAGAATGCTGACCAGTGTGGCGGCGTTGGGATTCTCGGCATAGCTTGGGCTTTTGGTGGCATGATCTTTGTGCTTGTTTACTGCACTGCTGGAATTTCTGGTGGGCAAAAATAAATACTAAAATTACTAAAATACCCATGTTTATTTGCACACACTCCGTAAATATGCATTTTACAATGCTATAGTGTTATGAAAATTTATTTTTTATTTGCAAAAGCCACTTAGGATGAAAAAAAGTCAAACCCTATCATGTTTTGTTGTCAATGCTGTTCTCGTTTGGCAATAGATTTTTTTAATTAGTTTTTTTTTTTTTTTTTTTAACGTGAGATTAAAGAGTTTGTTTGTGTTGATTTTTTAATTTTTGTGAGAGGAAAGTAAAATAATTATAGAAAAAAATTAAATAATTATGATTTAAATGTGACGTTTTATTTTATTGATTTTTTAACATATTTTTATCATTCAATTTTTTGTTTGCCAAACAAAGCCATTGTGTTGTTATACATTTTCTTATAAAAAAAAATACATTTTCTTAATAAATTACTTCCTTATCACATAAATCAATTATTATTATTATTATTAGGGTAAATTATACTGACATCCCTGGAGGTTTATATTTATTACAGTTCATCCCCTCACATTTGAAAAATTATACTGACCCTCTTGTTAATTTAATTTTATGTATGATGATTATTACGGCGAAGGAAAGAGCTGTTATAAAACTTTAAACCTTAATGAAACTTTAAACCTCAGGAAGGAAAATGTAATTTTCAAAAGTTAATAAATATAAACCTCAGGGGTGTCAATATAATTTACCCTTGTTATTATTATTATTATTATTATTATTATTATTGGTCTAATGGACAATAGATCACTTCCTTCTTAAAGGAGTGACATAACATTCAATTGCTTTGCTTAATTTCATTTTCAGAAATTTTCAATTTTTTTGAGGCAAAAAAAAAAAAAAAAAAAAAAAAAACTTATCATTTTCATATATGTGTATATACATATTATTTTTTGGGATAAAATAATTTTTAAAATTTTAAAAATATTTTTTTAATTCAATTATAAAAAAAAAAAAAAAAAAAACCAAACAAGATAGGATGAGTATTAAAACTTTATATTAAACATAAATTATTATTCAAAATTAATTCCTAAATTGAGCACAAAACAAAGAGAAGGGTGTGCACCTTTATGTGCACATAATAGGCTTTTTGTGAAGGAAGGGGGATGCAATGAGTTATTTCAACTCAAATTCTCTCTTTTTTGTTATTGTTTTTTTTTAAATTTATGATTTTATTAGATGCATTTAGAAAGAAAGAGAATGGGGACATATTAATGTAATTTATTTTTTTAAAAAAATAATAATAATTGTGAAATTAATGTGGGGAAACAGGAGGACACATAAACCCAGCAGTGACATTTGGGCTGTTCTTGGCTCGAAAAGTGTCGCTGATTCGAGCAGTGATGTACATAGTGGCTCAGTGCTTGGGTGCCATATGCGGAGTTGCGCTTGTGAAGGCCTTCCAGAGCTCCTACTACGAAGTCTACGGCGGCGGCGCTAACGAGCTCTCCCCCGGCTACAGCAAGGGCACCGGCTTGGGCGCCGAGATCATCGGAACATTCGTACTCGTCTACACGGTCTTCTCCGCCACCGATCCGAAGAGGAGCGCCAGAGACTCCCATGTCCCTGTAAGCAATCCCCCCACCACCCTCCTCTACACAAATTATATGTTCATTTTTTAAATTTCTAAGTTAATAGATTTAAGTTTGAAATATCTATTTAAAAATTTACATATTTGCCCATACAAATGTCATCTATCTATATACGTATTATCTATTTATCCAATTATCCGTCCAAATGTCACAAGGCGCACACCGGTCACAAGCCAATTTGTTAGCGACCACAAAATACATAGGAGTGACTTGTCACCAATTAACTTAAATTTAAGCCATGAATTTAATGTTGTTTTAATAATGTGTGTTGATTTGTGAATTGAAAATGAAGGTATTGGCACCACTTCCAATTGGGTTTGCTGTGTTTATGGTTCACCTAGCCACCATTCCGGTCACCGGCACTGGCATCAACCCTGCTAGGAGCCTTGGAGCTGCTGTTATTTACAACCAAGAAAAGGCTTGGCATGACCATGTCAGTAAATATATATCTTCCCTAAAACCCATTTAAATTACATTATTACTTCTCTATATTGTTTTGCTTATCAAATATTCTCTGTTTATTTATTTATTTATTTTTTTGCAGTGGATGTTTTGGGTAGGACCCTTCATTGGTGCAGCCATTGCAGCCTTCTACCACCAGTTCATCTTGAGAGCTGGAGCCATTAAAGCTCTCGGGTCATTCAGGAGCAGCTCCCATGTCTGATTTTTCAGAAAGTTAAAAAAAGAGAATAATATTGGAGGGGTGCTTGAGTCTGTGATCTGGAAGTCTCTCTCTCTCTCTCTCTCTCTCTCACTACATCACTATTCAAGATTTAAGGGTAGTTGACAGCAATTGAGAACCATGGAAATATAGATGGAAGTCTCCTTGGAAAGGGAAATCTTTTTTTTGGGTATGCCTTTTGATTGTCTTAGCTGTTAGAAAGGGAAATCTTTTTTTTTTGTAGCCCTTTTGATTGTCTTAGCTGTTAGTACTCTCTCCACCTTTGAATCAAAATTTGTGTTGTGATCTGTTTTTGAAATTTCTTTTCCATCCTTCTTTGTACTTATTTATGCTTCCAATTGATATCTAAATTATAATCCATGCTCTCAATTGAAATTTCTTTTACCATTTTCTCAATTTCCAGGATTTTCTAATTTAGATAAGTCTTTAGTTTAAAAAAAATCAAAATAAAATAAAGTTTAGAAAAAGACTGAGAAAAGCCAACTTTGAGCTGGTAACAAAGGACAAGTTTATATTCTATTGTATACTTGATGAATCAGTTATGTTATGCCTATAAAAAGAATTTTATAAAATAAAACACAGATGTGACTTAAATATTTTGCATCTATTATAATGAATATTTTATTTGTGTTTAAAAAAAACATTATAAAAGGAGATGAAGGACCCATTGTCTGGCCATATCCATGTAATTCAAAGGCGTGCATAAGAGGCATGAGTAAAATGCTTGAATTCAAATAATTGGGATTCACCTTTTGTTTTTACTTTTCAATAAAAAGTTTTCCGGAAGAACAAAAGTGATAGCCAATTATTTATTTGATTAGGTAAGTTAAACTTTCACTAAGACTAACAAGCTGGTCCGAAATTAAGGCTCTGTTTGGAAGGATTTTCAAATCCTGATTTTTCCCACACATTGAAACATCATGTTTAGATAGAGTTTTGGAACTAGTTTTTCACAACAAACACTAAACTCTACAAAAAACTCTCTGTAAAACGCGATTTTCGTTTTTTTTTTTTTTTTTTTTTTTTTTTTTTTTTTTTTTTTTTTAAATTTGGCCTAACCGGTCGTCCCACCAGATGTCCTACCAGACATCCCACCGGTCGGTTGACCAGAACAATATAAATTTTTATTTTTATTTTTATTTTTGCAATTGATATGTTAATTTTTATATATTTGAAAAAAAATATTTTTCGAATTTTTTAAAATTTTTTATGTGCTTTAATAGAATTTTGAATTGTATGTTTGATTATGAGTCGTAAGTTTTTATATCAAATATCAAATATCATTTCAAAAATTTCCCACTCAATTCAAAACTCTTTTTAAAACTATTTTCAAAACTTTTTCACCAAAAAAATTTTTCACACTCAAATCATAATTCCAAAACTCACAAACTCAAAATACAACTCATACTCTCAAATCATAGTTACAAAGATTTACCAAACGCAACCTAAGTTTTTTTTGGTTGTGAAATCTATCTAATCATCTATACTACATTAGAGATACATAAAATAGGAAAATTTAGTCATAATCTTCTAGGACTAACATATTAGTGTGTAAATGACAGTTTAAAATGTTTTATTTTCTAACCCTTCATGAAGGATAAATTAATATTTTATTTTTTTTTATTTTTCTAAACAATCTTATTCTAAATATATATGTCAGAGATTTGAATCAAATCTATAATTAATTGATGTTGAAATTTTGTCTAATGATTATTATTGGCCATTGTTCAATGATCAAATCTAAATCACAAGGAATAAATTTTCCTTTAAGAATTAAAGTGAAGACTATTCTTTAGACCAAATTTAAAGTGGAGACTATTCTTTATCCCTAAAAGCATTAAAGTGGAGACTATTCTTTAGACCAAATTTAAAGTTCAGGATATCTACTATGCGTTTGCTGATTTCCTCCACTATCTGCAACAGATTAGGGATATCTAGCTTCTTCCTAGGGAATATTTTTTTTTTTATGATTTGTTAGCTGAGTCTGGTTTGCTCCTTTTTTTTTTTTTTTTTCAATTGGTGATTTGAATTGTTATTTGTTGATTGTTATTCATTATTGTTGATTTGTTTGTAAACTTGTAGTGAAATAACTTGTAAAACTTCTTTCAGTTCATACTTTATTTATTTGTTTATTTTTTAATTTTATTGATGTCCTATTCAAGAAGACAGTAAAATATTACTCTAATAATCAGTAACATTACATTTTATTGTAAATCAAAGTAAAATGTTACTGTTAATAGAATAAAATGTTACTTTCATGTTAATTTTGACATTAATTTTATTTTTTTAAAAGAATTTCATAGTCAACCTAACTCTTATTTAATAGAACTTGATGAGAGAATTCTAAAAATACTAATTTTTATTAAAAATCGACATCTAAATCAAAAGTTATATCATTTTAAAATTTAAAATATTAAATTACTCACTAAGAGTATTTTGATAATAATGGTGTGTTGGACTTTTTCATGATTTTTTTTATTTTACTTTTGTTTTTAATACATTAAATTTTTATTATAAAGAAACTTTGACTAAATTTTCCTTAAAAATATGATCACAAAATTAGATACAACTTCAAGTCAAATTTTATGAATCTCACATAATTCTATGATAAATTTTTATATTCCCAATTATTTGCTTCTATTGCAAAAATATAATAAATATAATATTATTGTGCTTAGATTCTGGACAGCTAGAAATCTACCAATTATTAATGCTTGACCTGCAAGGAAGAAAAGGTAGTCTTTTAGTCTCCCACCAAGACTTGACACCAATAATGCTTGCTTTGGCTAGATTTCAATCCTATGTATCATTATCCCCCAGAATCTGAGGCCCAATTACTTGCATCTTCAGTTGCACCAAAAATTTCAATTTCACCAAATATGCCATTGCCAACCTAAGAATTTTCATCTCTATCTTTTGAGAAACCCTTAAAATGCATTTTTTTTGTCCCACACCCACGGGAGAGGTTTGATAGAATATTTGATAATTCATTTGAGGTTTATAACATTTTCCAAACTTTTAATCAACACTCGTGTATTGAATTAGATGATTTGAGCAGAGAAAAAATATATTTTTGGTGATGAAAGACCAAAATCAATAACTATCTCTAGTGAATTGGTACCAAAATGAATCAAGAATTGAGAATGAGATAGGAATCGAATGGAATGAGTTGGTTTTGAAAGGTTTACAATAATTAATCTCGCTAGAAAGACTTCAATTTAGAACTTAGTTATTAGAGGATATGACTTCTTATTAGAAGGATCATTGGTTTAGTAGTTAAAATTTTACTTATCAATAGTGCGTTTGAACTTAAGACATTCACTTTGTGCAAATAATGTCAAATGTTAAGTTCTCTCTGTTCTTAATCTGTAAATTTCTTAATAAAATTCTCTGTTTTCTGTTTTAAAAATATAAAATTAAAACTTAAAACCACATTAATTCCATAGACTCCAAAATGTCATTTAATAGGTGGATCCACTAGGAGCACCAATGAATGAGATACAGCACGTGACCAAAGTTGATGGGCTTCCTTTGGTTTTTAATTGGCCCATAGACCCAAAGCTTTCAGACCCAAACGCCCAGCCCATAGATCGCCCCCTACACATTTGGGGTCACCCAGGGCCCAGATCATCCTTTAGATTAAACCAATTTTTCCATTGATGAAAATCACACATCAAAATTGATGAAAACCACAAAAATTTCGTGAATAAAATGTTTATTCTTATTTTTTATTTTACTTTTTAAGTATATCTAAAAATCAAAAACAGTCAATTAAAATATGAAAAAATATATATATTTTAAGTACAAAAAACAATTTTAAAAAAATTAAATCAAACAAGTAAACTGATGATTGTTGTCTATTGTTCATGTAGCATGCCTCTGCTGGCACGGTAACCAAAAAACAAAAAGAAAAAAGGAAAAAGAAAAAAAAAAAAACAGCTCTAAAGCAGTGATGGAACTACTTCAAGCAGAAGCAACAGAGAAATTATTATGAAAATTTAAGGCAAGTAGTACTTCCTCAGAACACTAGAAGCCCATAAATAAGACATACATAGCAACAGAGAGAATTTCACATAATACATCAACCACACACACAAACACAAGTATCTCTTGTTAAGCAACAAAAAAATGGCACCTATCTCCACATTCTTGTTCTGCTTCCTCTCTTACATTTCTTTCCTATCAACTCCTCAGCCACTTCTGTCCTACAACTTTGGTCATCAAAATGCATGGGAAACCTTACATCCATATCATCCCTACCTGATATGATGTGAACGACTTTTCTTGTGCCACACAAGTGTCTTCTTTTTTTTTTCAAGGCAGCGCTCTTTGGATCCGTTCTTGTAGAATAAATCTCAAATACTTGCAAATCAATCGCTTGGAAGACACCCGTGAGAATTGAACTTTAGATATCAGAGTTCATGCTTCGCCACTTAACCGCTATGTTACTACCTATTCTTTGGTATTGTTTGGTGAAGCTTCTGGGCCTGCTTATATTTTTGTTTGTTTGTTTTGGAAGTATGTAACGGAGTATTTGGTACAACTTCTGCTTCTAGTTTGTGAGGCAAAAATAACTTTACAAAGCTGAAAAATGCTTATTATGAAAAGTTGAAGGAATGATTTTAGTTTTTGGTTTTTGATTTTTGATTATCAACTTTCAATGTGCAAGAAGTTGCACCAAAGAGGCCTATTGTTTGCTTGTATGTGTTTAGGCATTTTGGAAGTTGTAGGCTTTGGTTTGTAGTTAAGTGCTCTTGATTTTTGATATTAAGGATTGCAATATTCTCAGTTGTTCAACCAAATCATAATTTGTTTTAAGCCTTAGATGCTCACATTTTGAATACATTTGCAGCATTGGAGAGGAGGTGAAGTGGGCGGCAGAGAAGCTATCAGTTAGTCTGAGCAGAATGAGAATTGAATTTGGTTATATATTTTCTGTTAAAAATATATATAACCAAAACTTAAAAACAACATTAGTACCATAGACTCCAATTTGTCATTTTTATAGGTGGATCGACTAGGAGCACCTATGAATGAGATTAAGCACCTGACCAATAGACTAAGCTTGCAGTCCCAAAAGCCCAGCCCATAGATAGTGCCTTACACATATTGAGTCACTCAGGGCTCAGTCATCCTTAGCTTAAACCAATTTTCCATAGACGAAAATCACTCATCAATACAAAATTGATGAAAACCAATTTTCCTCAAAAATCTAGCGAATAAAAAGAAGTTTTTTTTTTTTTTTTTTTTTGTAAATTTAAAATGTATGAAAAAATATTTTTATCTAAAAAATTAGTTTATTCTCCATATAGGCGTGTGTGACTTTCACAATTGGTTAACTTTAAATGGTAAAATTGACTGAATGTGTTTAGTGCTGAATAAAGGAGATCATCCACGCATGGGGTAAACTCACAAGAATAAAGTGAAAATTGCTTCTTTTTTTAAAAAAAAGAAGTGAAATTCAAAATTATTTTTGAGTTTTTCTTGTTTGTTTTTAATGAACTTTTTTGATATTTTAGTCATTTTATAATATTTTTTAAATATATTTAAAAAGTAAAATATTTATGAAGAAAAAACCAATCAACACATTTCCTTATTAAAATTTTACTTAAAATATATATATATATATATATATAAAAGATTTACAGAAAATAATTTTTAAAAAATTAAATCAAATGAGGACAAAGTAAACGGATGATCGTTAGAGTAATGATTGAGATCCTCACTCTCACAAGACTCTAATGATTGAGATCCTCACTCTCACAAGACTCTTACAAGACTCTCACAAATATAAACCACTCATGATGTAGACCCTACACATATACAAATAGACCCTACACATACATAAAGGGCAAAAAAATCACCCACACATGATGTAGACCCTACACATATATAAATAAACCCTACACATACATAGAGGGCAAAAAAATCACCTTAGAAGGGTGGAGATCATCTCCAAAGAGAGTCCCATATATTTTCCTGATCATTATCCATTGTTCATGTGGCATGCCTCCGCTGGCACAGCAACCAAAAAAGTCAAAAAAAAAAAAAGGAAAAAGGAAAAAGAAAAAAGAAAAAGAAGTAAAAAACAGTTCTAAGCAATGATGGAACAACTTCAAGCTCAAGCAACATTATTATTATGAATACTAAAGCCCCATTTGGGGACTTATTTTTTTAGTCAATTAGTCAAAAAGTTATTAAATTATTCAAAAAACTAATAACTCATACCAAAAAGTCAAAGATTCTCTTTTCTCTCTACTTTTTGCACATCTTTTCGTAATTAGTCAAAAAGTCATCTCAAACATACAAGTTTTTTTTACCTACTTTTTTAGCCAAATAGTCAAAAAATTACTAAATTAGCCTGTTCCCAAACGAGGCCTAAAAGGCAACTACTAGTACTTCCTCATAACAATAAAAGCTCATAAATATAGAGCAGCAGAGAGAATTTCACATCATACATCAACCATACACAAACACAACTACTATCTGTTGTTAAGGCAATAAAAAATGGCACCTATCACTACATTGTTGTTCTGCTTCCTCTCTTACATTTCACTTCTATCAACTCCTCCTCAGCCACTGCTCTCCTACAGCTCTGTTCATCAAATTCCATGGGAAAACTTACATCCATATCATCCATACCTGATATGATGTGAATGATTTTTTCTGTGCCACAAAGGTTTTTTTTTTCTTTTTTTTCTTTTTCTTTCATGTGAAGCCCTTTGGATCCGTTCTTGCATAATAAATCTGAATCGCTTGCAAATGCTAAGCTTGGAAGACACCCCATGAAAGTTGAACTTAAGAAATCAGTGTTTATCATTCGCCACTTAACCACTATGTTACCGTTGGCTTTCTGGCATTGGTGAAGCTTATGGGCCTGCTTATATTTTTTTTATTTACTTTGAAAGTCTGTAACAGAGCAATTGATACAACTTCTGCTTATAATTTACAAAAAGCTGCAGTTGAAAAGTTGGAGGAGGAATGCTTTTAGCTTCTAATTTTTTATTATCAACTTTCTACATGCAAGAAGATGCACCAAATAGGCCAATTGTTTGCTTGTAAGCGAGCTTTGTATGCGTTTTAGTGATTTTGAAAGTTGTAGGCTTTGGTTTGTAGTTAAGTTTTCTTTATTTTTGGTAGTAAGGTTTGCAATATATTATCAGGTGTTCAACCATATCATAATTTGTTTTAAGCCTTAGATGCTCACATTTTGGACACATTTGCAGCATTGGAGATCTGAGAGCAAACCTGGTAAAAGAAAAGCACCTAATTTGGGTAATGATGCTAATTAACTTTGGCAGAGTTTGTTGACATGTCAAGTTCTAGATGAGAGACTAATAGCAATGTACAGATACACATATCTGAGTATATATATGCTTTGAAGAGTAGGCTTTGGAATGGGGGCAGAAGGGTTGGGTTGAAACATGTTTCAGCATCAGCACAGAGGAAGAAGGTGAAGTGGGAAGCACAGCAGCTCAGTTAGTCTGTGCAGAATGAGAACTGCAGGCTAAGCTACTCTCATCTTGCTTCTTATCCTCTGGAAACTAAAGGGTATGAGTGGGATATTTCAGTTTTTTTTTTTTTTTCTTTTCACATCGGTACTTTGAAATGAGCAATGTATGTACTAATTCTAGGATTGAGATATTGTAAATAGAGACATCAGGGCTCTTTCATAGATGAGTTATGTAAAACTATTGTTGTATGTATTCTATGTATTATTAGGCAGGGAGATGCTTGAAATTATGAGCTAACCAAGTCGAGTTAAATAGTGGATTGTTTGAAGTTTTTAGGATAAATTTATGATGTGCACCTTAATTAATGTTGTGTTTGGTTGGGGATTTGGGGAGGAATTTGAAAAGAGAAAGGAAAAAGGTGTGTGAAATTATGTGAAATATAAGCATGTTTTATTCAAATTTCACCTATCCTTTTCATTTCCCTTTCCAAATCTCTTCCCAAATCCCCGATCAAAAAAGACACAAAATTTATGCTACTTTTACTTTGTAATAAAAATTTCAAATAAGCAAATATTTAACGTGTACCATATGAATGTGTTACCTGTCGCCTGTTGTGGGGTTTTTTTTTTTTTTTTTTTTTGTGGGTGTGGGTATATTTTTCCAGAAACAAAATGGTAATTAGAGGATGAAAGTTCTGCGAAATTGCAATGTTTGTCGTCGCTGCGAAATCCAATTTCTAATCTGTTAAATTTTATCATGTTATAGTGACTCCGTAACTACTACTAATCTAAAACCCTGTTCGTTGCCCATTCATCAATTTCAATTTCAATTTCATTTTCATTTTCATTTTCAATTTCACTTTCATTTTCATTTTACAGTTGGTCAAAACCTTGAATGAACGATCATTGTGTGAGTCTATACATTTAATATACACACATAGATACATATACATACATAGAGAGAGAGAGATATGCATATATGGCCATCGATGAAGATCAGGGAATCGTTCAAGGTAGCATACCTGGAGAAACTGGAGTTGAATCTCCACAGAATGAACAGCCAGAAGAAGAAGAACACCGCCTCCGTAATTGAGAAGAAACTCTTAGATGAAACTAATAATCAAAGAGAGAGAGAAAGAGAGAGAGAGAGAGATATTGTTGTTGATTTGGAGATGGAGAATCGTGCTGGTGGTGGCGGTGGGGCTTTGCTTTTGTGCCAAGAGCTTCTCATGATCCTCTCTTGCTGTTACTGTTGTTTCTGCTTTGGAGGTATCCCCTTCTCATTTCATTATTTATACACATTGCTCTTCACGCCCAAACGACATTCACACGGATTTGGGATCCTGCTGTGCTCTCCAGTGGAGGGGAGCCTCTATTTGCACACCCCACTTTCCCCTTCCTCACACACTTTAATGATATTGGGTTCGTTTGGTTTGTATTTCTGAAAAAATTTTAGAAAATTTTCTCTACAAATAAGTTTTTAAAAGTAATTAAACCAAGCAAATTTTCTCAAAAAAATTTCTCAAAACTTGTAAACCAAACAAGTTTTCCAAACAAATCTCTCTCACACACACATCAAATCAATTATTTTTTCCAAAACTCTCTCTCAAAATAATTTTCCAAAACATCTTTTGAAAAAAACCAAACTAAACAACTTTTCGTACTTTTTATCTCTAAAACACATCTCTCAAACACAAACCAAACATACCCATTGTTTTTATTACATTTTTATCTAAAATAAAATTATCTAAATATTCCTTTCTTCTTCAACTAAAACCCTAATCCTAACCTTAATGCCCAACAGAGTGCCTCCCTCTCCGGTCATCTCCTTCCTCAATCCGTCGCTCTCCTTCCTCCCTTCAGCCTCCCTCTTCTCGAATTGAAATCCCACCCCACCCCATCGTTCGTCGCTTACTCACCCTCCCCACCACTCCCGTAACCCCTCACTTCGGGACATAACACCACTGCCGTCGCTGCAGCAGCTTCCACCCTTTCACGACCCTCAATTCTGCAAAAACACACACACACACAGAGGAGAACCTAGATCCGAAGCCCCATTTTCGCGACTGAGAGGAGAGAGAGAGAGAGAGGAAGGGGTGGGAATGGTGACTGGAAGGGAGGTGGTAACGATGGTGGTTGCCGGCGAGGTGGTCGCCGGTCTGGAAGGTGTGTGGATTGGGAGGGTTGGAAAGTTATGTTTACGGTGATATAATTGGAATAAAAATGTGTGTAATGAGTAAATATTTTATTTCTTATTTTTTTAGGTGTGTGAATTAAGAAGGATATGCAAATAGAGGATTGAATGTGTACAAATAGAGGCTCCCCTTGTGGAGTGTGGTTCAATGTCTTTTTAATAATCTGAATGGTGAATCGTTATTATAAGATTCACGAAGAAGATCATTTATATAAAAAATTAAATTAATTAGATATTTATAACCTTATAACAAATATATATATATATTTTTATAAAAGTTAACGGTTAACAAATTTTTATAAATTTTTAAAAATAATTAGGATTCAACCATGAGGTTAAGATTATCTGATTAACCTTACTTTTTATATGGATAATATTTTTGACGAATCTTACAATGAACAATTCAGATCATCGAAAAACATTCAGAACAATATTCCACAAAGGGGCACAACAATACCCCATGTCTTAGGCATACTTTGTAGATCTAGTGATATATTTTAGAAGATGATAGTTGATTTAATTATCAATTAATCATCTTCTTGACTAAGGTTGGGCATCAACTGCTAGCTTGTCCAGGTCAGCCTTACTTTTTTAGGCCCTCAGAATATAATTTTAGCCCATAGAACTAGGTGGGGTTCATATTTTCAACCTGATTAATAAATGAGCTGGATTTGAAAATTGTACTTATGGCTCAGCTCGAGCCGACCCAACCCAACCCAGTCTGCTACATATTTAATTTAATAAATAAATTAATTTATATAATATATTAAAAATATATATACTCTTTTAATTGTATAATTGTATAATTTGTTTTTTATTTTATGTTAATAATTTATTTCTTGATAATGTAGGAAACTTAGGCCTCGTTTGGGAATAGACTTTTTTAATAACTTTTTGACTTTTTGGCTAAAATGTGATGTAAAAAAAATTAGTATGTTTGGGATGACTTTTTTACTTTTTACGAAAAGATGTACAAAAAGTAGAGAGAAAAGGGAATCTTTGACTTTTTGGTATGGGTTGTTGGCTTTTTAGTTTTTTTAGTAATTTTTTTACTTTTTGGCTAAAAGGGGCACTTGCCAAACGAGGCCCTAATATTATCGGAAACAATGGTTAACAATGATTCTAGTTCTTCAGAAGATAATGAAACAGAGGAAGAAATTTGAAATTTAAACTATGGATTTTTTTTTTAGTTTGATGTACTATAAATAGTTCGGTTCTAAAAACTTTAAGCTTATAGAATTATATGGATGTGTTTGGTTTAAAAAAACTTTATAATATTTTAATTAATATGGTATTGAATATTTAACTGTTAGTTACTTGATAGTCCTTTGTTTATTTATGAAAAAATAATAGGTACTATAATTAGGGGTATTCGCGTATTGATTTTGTGTGGTTTGCGGTTCGGTTTTGACCCGTCCGCACCTATGCGGTTTGTGAAAAAGTCAAACTGCAACCGCCCGCAGTGCGGTTTGCGGTTTGTGCGGATAGGGTTTGCGGATGTGCAGACGGTTGCGGGCGGTTTGCGATTTAGATTTTTTTCTTTAAAAATTAACTTTTGAATTTTTTTCCCCATTTTGTAAATATTTATTTCGAGTCATTTTCTTTTAATTTTCTAAAATGTTCCAACATTAATAATTAATGAATTAAAACTTATAAAATTAAAAACAACAAAATCCCATTTTTGAACCTTATTTATTCCCTTTCTTTCAATTTTTTATGCAATCAAACTGGGTGTACTATCACAATAGTGGAAACATCCAATTATCAATTGGTGAACATAGCAAAAGAAAGGAACAAGCTTACATTGAGACAATGGGGGAGTAATTTGAACAATGTGAAATAGATAGGATAGAATAGATAGATCTAGATAATGAACGAACGGTCCATGTTTTTTTTTTCAAAAAAAAAAAAATTATATTTGGCTAAGTGCGGCGCGGGTTGTGGCGGGTGCGGTTCCAAACCGCAACTCGCCCGTAACCCGAAAATCTTATATATTTCAAACCGCACCCTACCCTATTCAATTTGCGAAACCGCCCATACATGTACGATTCGGTTCGAGTATGTCGGGTTGTGCGGGTCGAATAACCCTATGCCCAGCCCTAACTATAATGTCTATTTTTAAATTTTTTTTTTAATAGTTTATGCACGTGACCCAATGGATGGGTTTGGAAATTATAATCTATATTAGGGCTGGGTTCGAGATGATTATATAGGCCCCATGTTCGGGCTGGGCGAACTTGGACAGACACAAAGTCTCTTATTAGACTGTGCTAGCCCAAACCCAACCTAGCCCGGCTCGATGAATGACCGTCTTTTTTCTTGACACATCACTGAATCTAAAAAAATGCACCTGAAAAGTAGACTTTTAAGTACGTATATATTGCTATGGTTATCTGAGTGATTGATGAGTATCGCAACATAATAATTAAATTTGAATCGAGTACTGCTATTAGCACATACCTAATTTCTTTGGACCTCCTAATTCTCACTTCTTCTTTTTTTATATTACAATTATATCATGAAGTAAAATTACATTAAAAAACAACTTTTAATAGAACACTCAACCACCAAATGAAAACAATTAGAATGACACTATATTGAACACCTACCTCCATCCCCATTTATACTCCTTACCAATCTAAACCTTAATCGTATTCTTCTTCATCACCATCCAAAACCTGCGTATTCATCTTCAATGAAAAATATTTGAAACTACCTAATCAGTTGACATTTTGTTCAGTGGTTTCAAATGTGGTCGGTATTCCAATTTAGTTAACGTTGCAAACAATCCTATTACAGACTCCGAGTTTCTACATTTATGGTCATGTTCATCATTTGTTAATACTTATAGAGTAATAGAGAACGATGACAATAATTCTGTTGAGGTTGGCGTTGCATTGGTAAATTTATCTATCTTGCATTTACAATTCTGGGTCATTTTTCGGTTTAGTATTAGTTTGTCGACTGTTAAGGTTCTGTTCAGTAATACAGTGCTGAGCATAAACATTTTGTTCGGCACTAGAATACCAAACAGTTCCATTTTCTAGGATTTTCATTATATTTCTGTTTTTTCTAAGGTTTTTTTCTTCTAAAATCCCCTGTATCAAGGGTTTTACTCCAAAATAAACAAAAAGTAATAATATGTGATGGGGAGTTTGAAGTTACCTAAGAGAAGAAGAAAGAGACTGTCGAAGAGATTTCTGACGAGATTTTAGACTAAGATATTGTTGTTCACCGTGACAATGTGATATTATGAATATGGGTAAAATTGGTATTAAGTAGAGTCTTCAAAGACATCTTATTAAAATTTAGGGTTTAAAATGGAGGTTCAAAGGGAAGTCTAAAGAAATTAGATAGGTGCTAACTAATAAGTTATATTTTGTTATTAAAATTACTATTAAGTCCTATCAAGTTTGAATATAGACAACTAAATTTTATTTGTCATAAAATATTCTCAACAAGTTCATTCTTTCATAATGGTGTATGCTATCTCAATTTTACCCCTTATTTAATATGAACAATAATTTTAACTTAATTAAAATTAAAAAAATTAATTGAATAAAATATTAATATTATATTAAAAATATAAGTAACAGTTGGATCGAAACAACTTTAATATAAAATGCGTTATTTTTTATTATTTCCATTTATGAATTTTATTTGTATAAACAATTTAAAAAGGCTCCATTCTATTAAACTTCCAAAGAGTTATGAAAATAATACTATGAAAAATTTATATATTTATCAATGTATGAGATGAGTGATGAATCTTATACATATCTTTTATGTTTATGAAAATTAATTTAATTCAACAATTTAAAATATTATTATTATAAAATTTTACATAAATTACAATTATTTATGAATTTTTGGTTCATATTTTAATGAAATTTAAAATAAAAATAAAATATGCTATTATGAATAATTGAACTTTTTTTTATAAGAATTTATAAAATAAAAAAGGAAATATAACTTGTTTGTCAATATTAAAATTTGATAGAATTCAATAGTAATTTTTTAAACAAAATCAAACTTATCAATAATTTTTTCATTGTGGTTTATAATATTTTAATAAAATATCATAATTTTTACAATTAAAAAAATATAATTGTGCTTAGATTAAAAATAATTATGAAATTATTGTTCATATTAAATGAGGGGTGAAATTGGGATAGCATACACCCTTATGGAATAATGAACTTGTTGCGGATGTTTTATGAAAAATATGATTTAGTTGTTCATATTGAAAAGTGATAGAACTTAATAGTGATTTTAAGAGTAAAATAGGATTTATTGGTTATTTTTTTAGGTTGTATTTCAATTATAAATTTAAATGGTGATTTTAAAAAGAATATATATATATATATATATATTATATTTTATTTATATTTACATATTTTTCTTTTTCTTTTTTAAATTTTTACCCAAATTCATGATCCAAACATATCCTTAGAAAAAATCTAGACCTGATTTTTTTTGGCACAAAGATTTATTGATTTCAAAACCCTTTTCTAACTTATTGGAATTGGGGTGAAAAATATTTTTTAAAAGATAATTTATGCACTTTATGACATAAAAAAAATTAAAATTAACGAAAAACATTTAATGTGATTAATGAAAATAAGCCTATTTCCCCCCCCCCCAAAAAAAAATCAATTTTAAAAGCAAAAAAACAAAATTCGGATTGAAGCCTTACAAAATTGTGCTACCATCCATGCTATTATTACTGTCACTATCACCGTCGTTATCACCACCGTGTTACCACCCGTTGCTGTTGCTGTTGCCGCCGCCACTAATAATTGGATTGTTTATGAAATTTGGTTCAACTTTTTCAGCCTGTGTTGACAAAGAAGGAAACTGAAAGCACTGCATTTGGGAGAGGGGACTTCTGCACATGGAATTTGCTTTGTACATGCAAAATTGTGGAATTCGGCTACTCTCTGTGTAGCTCTTGAAAAATTCTAGTGTTATTAACAAAAAACCCAAAAAAAAATAGTTCTGTTTTTTGTTTTTTTTTTCATCAGCAAAAACTGGTTCTGTTTACTGTTCATGTTATGGCTAATCTTCTCGTACATGAATTGATGTGATTCATCTCCAGTGGACCTCCCTCCCCTTTGCGGTGTTTTGGAGTTAACTAAATTTGTCTTATTCTGCCGCGTGGCAGCCTAAGAGATGGACAATTCAGGTGTTCAACTTATTACATCTTTACATAGGGATGTTTTGTGAACACACTATATATATATATTAAAAAAATAAATAAAAAAAAAGGTTAAAAGTCATTTTTTTATTTATTTTGAATTACATTATCTTTCACATAAAATAATCAAAAAAATTAAAATAATAATAAAAAATTAATTTTTTACCATCTTTTCAAAACACTACTATATATTACAAATATATATAAAAGAAATCATAAATCAAAATAAAGTATTAGATATCTTGGGTTCCACTTTCACAATTATGCGTTTAAAAACAAATTAATAATCAAATTGTTTTTACAAATAAATAAAAGGGGATTTTTTTAAAAATCTCTAATATTAAGATTTTATAAGATACATGATATATAATATTTTCATAGTAATTAAGGTCCTTAACATTTTCATTGAAAAAATTTAACTCAGAAAATTTTTATCCGACTCAAAAAAGTTTCGTCCCGATGCAGAAAAATTAATTTTCACTGAGAAATTTTGAAATTTCTAAATGATCATACCAAAAAAACTTTGAAATTTCTCTGAGTCAAATTTTCTCTATAAAAATGTTGAGGGACCTCAACTAATAGCATCTTGGACCTCACCTACTATACAAAGTTAGAGGGAGATGTTTCACTAATTTTTCCAAAATAAAAATGGGCAAATATTAAAGGCTCGTTTGGAAACAAGTTATTTTAATAATTTTTTGACTTTTTTATAAAAAGATATATAAAAAAGGAAAGAGAATAATATGATAATTTATAATAACTTTTTAATTTTTTGATTAAAATATATAATTGACAAATGAGGGCTAAATTATATCTCAATCAAATTAACTACTATATATTACAAATATATATAAAAGAAATCATAAATCAAAATAAAGTATTAGATATCTTGGGTTCCACTTTCACAATTATGCGTTTAAAAACAAATTAATAATCAAAATTATTTTTACAAATAAATAAAAGGGGATTTTTTTTAAAATCTCTAATATTAAGATTTTATAAGATACATGATATATAATATTTTCATAATAATTAAGGTCCTTAACATTTTCATTGAAAAAATTTAGCTTAGAAAAATTTTGTCTGACGCAAAAAAGTTTTGTCCCGACGCAAAAAAAATAATTTTCACTAAGAAATTTTGAAATTTCTAAATGATCATACCAAAAAAAACTTTGAAATTTCTCTGAGTCAAATTTTCTTTATAAAAATGTTGAGGGACCTCAGCTAATAGCATCTTGGACCTCACCTACTATACAAAGTTAGAGGGAGATGTTTCACTAATTTTTCCAAAATAAAAATGGGCAAATATTAAGGGCTCGTTTGGAAACAAGTTATTTTAATAACATTGTGACTTTTTTATAAAAAGATATGTAAAAAAGGAGAGAGAATAATATGATAATTTATGATTACTTTTTAATTTTTTGATTAAAATATATAATTGACAAATGAGGGCTAAATTATATCTCAATCAAATTAAAATGGCAAAACAACCTCTTTAATAGGATACCTCTTTCTTCTTCTTCTTGTTTTTTATTTATTTATGTATTTTTTATGGGCTTTAATAGGATACTTAGACCTTGAGATATGTTTCCTAATTTTTTTATTGGTAATATTAATGTTTTACCATTTTAAGATTTTATATTATAAGATAGGGTCGTTTTCCATTATTCATATTAATTGGCCAGATATATTTCCTAATTTTTTTTTACATTGATAATATTACTATGGTCCAGCTTGTCTCATGTTTGAGACCAACTTTGGACCATTCAGTTCGGCCCATGGGTTCATTTTTTGGTCTCGTTTCTATAATTCGAACCATTCAATGTGTAGAACTCGTCGGGTACTATATCTTTGTTAAAAATCACGTTGATCGGATATCAATAACTATTAGATCGGATCAAATTTGTATTAAAAAAAAGGACGGTGAAAAAATAAACGGTTAACAGAAATCTGAACTAATCAAATAGCTATCGATATCCGATCAAAATAATTTTTTACAAAGATATAGTACTCAATAAATTCTACATATTGAATGATTCGGATTATCGAAACAGAGCTCAAAATGAGCCCATGAATCGAACTAAATGGTCCACTTTTGATCTCAAACAAGAGACAAGCTGGATCCATTACTATTTTACCTTTTATTTTATGTTTTAAATACTAAGCATATTGATGGATTTGATTTAGGAGGGATAACAACAAATTTCGTTCGGAATCGCCGTGTTTGGATTTGAAAAAGGGAGAAGCGAATTTGGAATTTTATCTAATCAATTTTTATTCTGTTGTTGAGATTTGTTTATGAGAATGAAACGTGACTTGTAATTAACTTTTCGATTTGTCACATTATGAGAAGATCTCATTTCCACATCACATACGAACAATTTAAGAATAACATAAGTAAATATGTTAATATTATTTAAAAATTTATATTTTTCCATAAAAGAATTTTTAACACATGGACCTTATTGGTAATAAATTCATGAATTTGTGATATTCATTCTATTCAAATTTCAAACACAGTTGTAATGCAATTAAATAGGATTTAGATATGATATGAGTGTATTTTTATTTTTATTTTCTTTCTGTTGTTTTTCTTGTCGGTGAGTGGGATGATGATGAGCAATGCAAATTGAACTATCTAATCCAAATTGCCATTGTCAGTCTTACTTTGGAATCATTTTTATTTTTTGAACTCGCTTAATCAAGATTAATGTTTGGGAGCACCAAAAAAGGAGTACTAGGGGAGCACTAATAAGGTGACTCTTCATTTAATGTGATGGTTGTCTCTTGTGTTTTTTTTTTTTTTTTTGACATTTTCCAACTCATTAAAGCTATTAGTGATGGGATTTTTTAGTGGTCTCTATCATTACTGCTTAATCAATGTCCTTGTCTTTATTTAATTTTTCAATCAATATTATTTTTTCTTTATCTTTTTAGAGTTTTTAGACTAAAGGCTTAGAGCATCTCCAACCCACTAGGCATATGATGCTTGTTAGTCAAAATGCCTAATGTGACTCACTTTTTTCAACTCCAATGCACTAGGCATATGCTTAGGCATTTTGGCTCAGCTCACATTCACTAGCTACATGTAGCTAGCCTTCAAGGCTAGGCAAAATGTATTTAATCATTAAGATTATTTCCCTCCATCTTTGTTGCTGACGTGGCATTCTATAAAGTTAATAGTATTTGGATGAATAGCTAAAATAAAGAGCATGGTTGGGGCAGAAACATGAAATGCAAAATAAAATGTATACTTTATAGTAATATTTTAGATAGGTAAAATGCCTACTACCATTGGAGATGCTCTTATAAAATTAGAATAGAATTAAAATTTTGGTTTTTATTTTGAACCAAAGAGGCGTTAGACTTTAATGAATATTGAAGGCTGATTTACCATTTTTTTTTTTTTTGGTTAAGTTTTTTTAAAGTCTTCAATGAATTTATTTTTTTTTTAAATGTTTCAAAACTTATCACTTTTATATTAGAAGACATTAAAACAGATTAAAGATTAAAAAAATAGTTGAGTTTTTTTTTTTAAGTGAATTTGTTTTGGATATTTTTAAAACCAAATATTAGTTTTAAAATCTTCTATGCTAAAAGGACTTGAAAAAAAATAATACAAATTAATTTTTTTACTAAAGATAAAAAAAATATTAAAAAATCTTTGTCAAGCAAGAGTAAAAATTAAAAAAAAAAATTAAAATTTTTTCTAGCAAGAATAATGGAAATTTTTTTTGAACTAAGAATAATGAAATTTGACAGTTACAATTTGTCAATAAAAAAAAATAAAAAATAATGAGTGAAAAACAATATATATATATATATATATATATTAATGGTCACGATAAAAGCAAGAAACGGGTTAGGTCGTCCACCTCCAACGGCCCTTCCTCTCTCATTTTGTGAGCAAAAACATATATTTATCAAAAAATAAAAACTATTATAAATATTAATAATTAATATTATAATTTTTTTCTCTGCTACACTTTCAAGTAATTGTTCCTTTAAAATACTTAGCCCCACATGATATTAACGTATCACATCAAGGTCTCTTTTGAGAACTTGACTCCTTTTTTAAGTTAATTTTTTCATTATTTTCTGAGATTAAAAAGAGTTATGTTAAAGATGATTTGTGAATTTTTTTAATTGAATAAATGGTTGTAAGAAAAAAAAAATGATTTGTACAATGTAATATTTTATCTCACTGACTATTTTAATTTTTAATTTTTTTTATTTTTATTAACTATTTTAACCAAAAATATATATTATCAAATCTTACCCAAATCAATGTTTTCACTTACGGTGTAAAATATTTTGTAATTTATTTGAATTCTTTTATTTAACCACTTGTGGCCTATTATATTTTAAAAAATTGATTGATTGATATATATGATGTCACATTTTATCTTATTAATTATTTTAACACAAAAAAAATGTTCCCAAATCCGACCCAAATAAATGGTTTCACTTGCAGTGTAAAATATTTGCTAATTTATTTGGATTCTATTATTTAACCATTTGTGGCAATTATATTTAGAGCTTGTTTGAAAAATGTTATTGTAACACATTTTTTTTATCTTTTATTAATCATATTATTTCTTTATTTTTTTAATAAAAAATTAAAAAATATATTTATTTAACACTTTCCAAATCAACATTTTCACCTAAATGGGTCCACTACTTAAATCAGAGACCAAAATAGGAAAATGTTTGGACTCTCACAAAAGAGAATTCTCGCGACCCTCACTTATATATTAATTATTGATATGTTTGAATTTATTTTTTTTTATCTTTGATAGTAATATAAATATTTCAAATCATTTTAAAAATTATATTTTATGGAGATTTCTATCATTATTGGACCAAAATATGTCTATATCAAGGCCCTACATTAGCTTTCCTTGATGTCCCAACTTCGGGAATGCCATTCCCACCTAAATGGATACACTACTTTAATCAAAGACCAAAATATATCAAGGTCCTAGATTAGCTTTCCTAGATGTCCCAACTAAGGCTATGTTATTATTTTAGTAAAAAAAATAAAGAAAAATAGGTTAAAAAGTTAATAAAATAAAATATAATATTTAAATCATAATTTTTTTTTTTTTTTTTCACAAAAGACAAAAATTATAAAAATTTTAAAAATTCATCCCAAAAGAAATTTTTTAACCGCAATTTTAAATATCCAAAAAGTTACAAAGTAAGGGGTTGTTTGGGGTGTCTTAAATAAGTGTACTTTTTATCTTTTTGGACTAAAAAATTGAGGAAGAAAATATAGATGTTTGGGTTAATTTTATGACTTTTTATAAAAAAATATGTAATAAAAAATTGAAAAAATTGGTTTGTAGGAGAAAATTAAGATTGAGAATTGTGCAACCGTAATTGTTGGCTTTTTGTGAATAGTGTTAATTTTTTAATATTTTGAATACTTTTTTAACTTTTTCTAAACATGCCAAACTTGATCTAAATACATGTTCCAAACGAATGCTTAGCTCATGTACCAAACTCCATTTTGGAGTTATGGTGAATTTCAATTTTTTTAGATTAAAATTCATAAAAAGATAAAAATAAATTAAAATAATTAATAAAATAAAATATCATATTAAATTTATAATCATTTCATTTTTTTCACAAATATTACATCTAATTATAAAAAATTAATTATCTTTTTAAATATAAAAATTTTAACATATTAAAATAACCAAAACGTAAAATAATCTATTAAAATATCAATTTTCCAAACATTCATTTTTAACACCCCCTCTCTCTCTCTCTCTCTCTCTCCTCTTTGGAAGCAATAAATGTTTCCCCAACCGTTTCGCTAAAATCCAATTGACGTCTTTGGATTTCCCTCTCTCCCTCTCTGTGTATATATATATGATTCGATATCATAGATAGTTCAGACCGCTTTGTATCCTGTCCTACCGGTGCATTTTAGCATAAAAAATGGTGCACCCAATAGCGGAGGCGAACGAGAAGAGCCCGTTCGGCTCGCTCACCCCGGACGAGTTCTACGCTCGCCACTCAGTGAGTCACTCGTTCGAGTACATCACCAATTCCAGAGGAATGAAGCTGTTCACACAGTCGTGGACCCCACTCCCGCCGACGAAGATCATCGGAATTGTCGCCGTCGTCCACGGCTTCACCGGCGAGTCGAGCTGGTTCACTCAGCTCACCTCCGTCCTCTTCGCCAAGTCCGGCTTCGCCACTTGCGCCATCGATCACCAAGGCCACGGCTTCTCCGAAGGCCTCTCTTGCCACATCCCCGACATCAACCCTGTCGTCGACGACTGTATCTCCTTCTTCGACTCGTTCCGTGCTCGTCACGCGCCGTCGCTTCCTTCGTTTCTCTACTCCGAGTCCCTCGGCGGAGCCATCGCGCTTCTCATCACTCTTCGCCGCGGCTCGAGCCGCCCGTACGACGGGCTGATTCTCAACGGCGCGATGTGTGGAATCAGCGCCAAGTTCAAGCCGCCGTGGCCGCTCGAACATTTTCTCTCGATCGTCGCCGCCGTGGTGCCGACGTGGCAAGTGGTGCCGACGCGCGGATCGATACCGGACGTGTCGTTCAGGGTGGAGTGGAAGAGGAGCCTGGCTTTCGCAAGCCCTAGGCGGAGCAAGGCGAGACCACGCGCGGCGACGGCGCGTGAGCTTCTGAGGCTGAGCGCGGAGCTGCAATCGAAATTCGAGGAGGTGGAGGTGCCGTTTCTGATAATTCACGGCGGCGAAGACGTGGTGTGCGACCCGGCGTGCGCGGAGGAGTTGTATCGGAGAGCGTCGAGCAAGGACAAGACGATTAGGGTTTATCCGGGGATGTGGCACCAGCTGATTGGTGAGCCTGAAGAGAATGTGGAGTTGGTGTTTGGGGAGGTTGTGGAGTGGTTGAGGACTAGGGCTGAACGCGCCGCCGGAGAGGTTGAAGCTACTGGAGGAGATTGTGGCGCGTAAGGGTGGTGGCGGAGAGGGAGATGGTGGCACGTAAGTGGCATTTTTTTTAAAATTATTGGGTAATTGTTAATTAATTAGGGGCAATGGAAGAATGTTAATTTTTTTTTTTTTTGCAATAAATTTTTATTTTTCTTTGTAATTCGAAATAAGTTACTAGTAGTCATGTTTTTAATGTGTCTCCTCTCCTCTCCCAAGTATAAAAATTTAAATACTAGTTCTCTATTTGGGTTTAATCTACATTGTAAGATTTGAAGAAAAAATAATTGGGTTCGTATAACAAATATTAATTCAAACGCAATCTCATTTCTTAGTCACCGGAGACACAGCCCATTTTTGATACTTTATTATGGGCATAAAAAGGTTTATTTTAATCTAGGAAATATTCGGAAACTCGAGTGGTAAATATCTTTTACCTTAACTTGTTTGGTCTGAGAATTTGGAAAAATATAAAAATAAATAAATATAAAATTATAAGTATATTTTATTTATTTATTTATTTATTTTTAAATTATTTCGCAAATTTATCAATTAAATACAATGTAAATGTATATAAAAACAAATAATTGTAAGTCAATGAAAGGTAGATGAGGCATGTATTCTTAGCTGGTGATAACTGGGCAAGATAAAATTGAATGCATTTTAGAGGTAATGCCTTGTGTGTTAGAGGAATTCCAATCTTTCAATTTTTTTTATTTTTTTTATTTATCAAATTTAAGTAAAAAGTTAGTTGAAAATTTGATTTGATATAGGATGCTTTAATGGCATTTTATCAAAGTTACCGAAAAGCTTGATTTGGTAAAAAAAAAAATTGAATTCATGCATTTTTAAAAATTCTAAATTTTTTCCCAAAAGCTTTTCATCAAATTTAATTAAAAATTTAATTTTGTTATTATTTATTAAAAAATTTGATTTGATATAAATTTTATGAGATTATTAGAGATAATGTACCGATTTAATGTGGCAGATAAATTGCTCTTTAATGTTTGTTTGGGCGGACTGGATTAGTATTCCCATGACTAATAGTCCTAGGACTACCAATCCGTTGGATTATGTATCCTATCTTAACTAATAGTCAAGTTTAAAATAATTAATCCTTACTTCAATTGTTTAACCAAACATCGGATTAATAATTTTATTGGACTATTAGTCCAATCCCAAGCTCATGTCCACCCAAACAAACATGACCTAAATATCTAGATAAGACTGACAGAGATGGCTGATAAAGCGATAGTTGTCCAATGATATGGAGACTATGTTGGAAGGTAAATAGAGACTATAAAAATTGAAAAACTATATAAAAATTAATATACTTCAAAAGAAAATTATTAAGTTGATTTATATTAATAGAAACTAGCATATGAACCGTATGATGCATGGATTAAATAAATAATTAAAAATAATTTTGAAATTAAATAATAATTAAAATTTATTTAAAAAGTATAGAAAAATAATTTAGAATGAATTAATCATTTTATTAGAAAATATATATACATATATTATAGTTATTATGTTATTAATTGTATATTTTAAGTTTAATAACAAATAGATGTCATAAAATAAAAATAATTGGTAAAAAATGAAAAAAAAAATAGAATAAATTACAAAAATAAATTATATTAATGATAAAATAAAAATAAATTTCATTCTATAAATTTTTTAATTTTTGTTTATTCTATATTAAAGTTTGTCATAAAACTTAAACATATATTTTAGAAATAAAACAATATACATATATATATATATATATACATATATTGATAAAATCGTTAAAATCGGTTAAAAATTTAACTAACTTACACAAAAATTAATTAATTAATTGAAACTTTTAAATTTTATTTTATTTAAAATTTAAATTGTTTTCAACTAAAATATGCATAACACTACAATATTAAATAGGAGGATATGTTTACTTTATATAAATGATGAAACAACTCTTCTTTTTTTCCTGAAGTGGGATTGTGTAAAATAAAATTTAACAATTGCTTGAGTGGAAAGTTTATTTCGAATCAAATAATATTAGTCATTTAATTTTAATTATGTCAATCTTTAATTTATTTCGAATCAAACAAAGCTAACTAATGTATTTTAATAAAACTGCTAAAATCACGGTTAAACCAACGAATCAATCAAATCAAAAAATGATTTAGCCTAATCAGTTAGGTCAAAAGACTAACCAACTTACACAAAAATTAACTAATTAAAAATTTTAAATTTTATTTTAAAATTTAAACTGTCTTAAATTGAAACATGCACATCATTACAATATTAAATGACAGTATAAGATTCACTTTATATAAATAAAACAACTCACTTTTTATAAAATAAATCATATCATAGACTAATTAGAGTTTTATTTTAAAATTTAAACTGTCTTGAATTGAACCATGCAAAGCACTACAATATTAAATGAGAGTATAATTTATATAAGTGAAACAATTCACTTTTTTTATTTTTCCATGTGGGATTATAAAATAAATTATAAACTAATTAGAATTTTATTTTTATATGGTTAAATAAAAGCTAGTAAATGGAAATTTTTTTAATTGTTTAAAATTAAGAAAATCAGTATGAAAAATTGCGGTTAAACCAGTTAATTAGTCAAACCAAAAACTATTCAGGTTAATTGGTTAGGTCAAATGACCAACCAACTTACACAAAAATTAATTATATAAAACTTTTAAATGATATTTTAATTTTAAAATTAAAACTGGCTTAAATTGAAACATTCACAACCTTACAATATTAAGGTTCACTTTATATAAGCAAAACAATTCACTTTTTTTTTCTTTTTTCGATGTGGGATTATGAAATAAAAGTTTACAATTATTTGGATAGGAAATTTATTTCTAATCAAGCAATCTCAATCATTCAATCTTTAATCAACTAATTCTTTTGTTTATTTTGAATCAAACAAATCTAACCACTGTAGTTTAATAAAACTGCTAAAATCGTGGTTAAACCAACGAATTAGTCAAATAAAAAATGATTTAGTAATTGGTTAGGTCAAAAAACCAACCAACTTATATAAAAATTAATTAATTAAAACTTTTAAATTTTATTTTAAAATTTAAATTATATTAAATTGAAACATACACAACACTAGAATATTAAATAAGATAATAAGATTCACTTTATAAGAATAAAACAATTTATTTTTTCCTTCTTCTCCCGATGTGGGATTATCAAATAAATCATACACTAATGAGCTAGCTTAATGAAATTTTCTTAATTGTTTAAAATTAAGAAAATCAAGACAATTAGTATGAGATATTGAAACTCTCACAATGTTCTTCACTGAAAACGGTTTAGCCTAATCGATTAGATTAAATGACCAACCAACTTATACAAAAATTAATTAATTAAAACTTTTAAATGATATTTAAATTTTAGAATTTAAACTGGCTTCAATTAAAGCATGTAGAATACTACAATATTAAGGTTCACTTTAAATTAATAAAACAACTCATTTTTTCCTTCTTTTTTCGATGTGAGATTATAAAATAAAAACTTATAATTATTTGGACGGGATGTTCATTTCTAATCAAGCAATTTCAGTCGTTCAATTTTTAATCAGATCAATATTTAGTTTTTTTCGAATCAAACAAATGTAATCAATATATTTTGATAAAACTACTAAAATAAAACTTCTAAAATCGCGATAAAACCAACAAATCAGTCAAATAAAGAATGATTCAGCCTAATTGATCAAGTCAAAAGACCAATCAACTTACACAAAAATTAATTAATTAAAAATTAAAAATTTTGTTTTAAAATTTAAATTATATTAAATTGAAACATGCACAACGCTATAATATTAAATGAGAGTATAATATTCACTTTATATGAGTAAAACAATTCATTTTTTCCTTCTTTATTTTAAAATTTAAATTCTATTAAATTGAAACATGCACAGCATTACAATATTAAATGAGAATATAAAATTCACTTTATATGAGTAAAACAATTCATTTTTTTCTTCAACTCATCCAATCTTTCACTTATATGATCACATATTCTCAACTCCACTTCAAAGATAGACATGTATAATCATGAAACTTGCAAAATTTGAGCCCAAACTCTCATATCCCAGGGTGGTTCTCATCAATTTGAAATCTATACAAGAAATTAAATATATGATCATGATTGTTCAAAACTTATGCCATGCATGTGAATATACTACACTATCTCCTTCAATTCTCCCCTTTATGATTATATATGGATTCTCAACTTTATTTCCTCTCCAAGAACTCATAATTTCTCATAAATCCTTTCTATGTGAACTTAGATACTAAGGAATTAGGAGTGTAACATTTCAATTTCATGAATTTTGAGATGAAATTTACCTTAATTTGGTGATTTGTTGAAATATAGCTCAAGCTCCTACTTTTCTTCTTTCTTCTTGAACTCTTGGACTCAACCTCAAGAATTCTCCCTCACTCTCTCTATGTGTATCTCTTTAGAATTCACCAAAGTGCATTACTTCCTTTTGTTTCCTAGTAAATAGATGAAAAGAATAACTCTCATTTAATAATAATTCAATTCCTAGTTTAAATTGTATTTGATTAACTCAAACAAATTAATCTCATCATTCTATAATCCAAATTCCACTAAATTAAATTATATTAAGGTAAATAAGGTTCTAATTCATATCTGATTTCTAAATTTTAACTTGTTAAAATTAACGAAGCAGACAGGTCTAATTCATATATATCCACATTTGTTCACAATAACAATGTAATACCAATCAATGCAAGCATATATCATATGACACATAATTCACATATGATCAATAGTAAGCACATAATTAGCTTAACTAATTAAGGAGGTGGTTGTCACATTCTCTCCCCCTTAGGACATTTGGTCCTCCAAACGCAATTACCTTCATCCGGAAAAAATATCGGATCAAGTGGGAAGAGGTCTGAATATATTTTCTTCATGTCGTCTTCCCTTTCCCAAGTTGCATAAATACCACCATGATTCTGCCAATCCACTTTCACTAATGGAATTTCTTTGTTTCTCAACTTTTTGATTTGCCAGTTAACAATCTGAATAAGCCTTTCCTCATAAGAATAATCATCACTCAAAAGCACATAGGTAGGCTCAATAAGATGAAAAGGTTCCCAAAGATAATCCCGCGACATTGAAATATGAAAGACATTATGCACATGTTCCATTTTGGGAGGAAGAGCTACCTGATATGCCACTGGATTAATCTTTTCAATGATTTCATAGGGCTCGACATACCTTGGTGTTAACTTGCCCTTAGTTCCAAAGCGAGTTGCCCTTTCATTGGTGTCA